TGGTGAGCAGTACCTAGCTGCTTTCAGGGACCTGCTTTTCTTTTGAGGAGAGAGATGAGATACGGAAAACCATCCAACATATATCGTTAAGTTAAAAACACCAGGCAGATGCAGAACAGGGTGCCTTGTGTGCTACTGTTTTGTAATATTAATAATAATATAAATAATGTGTATGCTTGAATATACATAGAATATCTTTGGAATGATCCACAAAAAACTATGACTGGTGGTCCCTAGGTTGGTGTGGCCTGAGGGTCATGGGAGAAGGCAGACCTCTTTTTAAGTATATAACCTTTGTGCCTTTTCAATCTTGTACCTTATCATAAACCACCTATTCGAAATAAAAGTTAATTTAAAAACAAGAGAGGTGCTGCTTTTTGGCTGAACTTCATCTCTGTAATTTTACTCCTCCTGCTTGATAGTTCTTGTTTTACTTCATTTTAAAATCTAGTTCTCCTTCCTTGAGCATCTTTGTAGAACAGGAAAACTAATTTTCCCCATTCATAGTTCAAGCTGCTAAGTGACAAAGTATGTTTACCTCTGAACTTCCCTTTCTCTGCTGCAGCATCAGCAGCAAGATATTGTGAAAGGATGCACAGAAATATCAAGGAAGAGTTTCTGTTCCTGTGGCCTGTTGTGTGGCTTTAGGTCAGTCACTACACCTCTCTGAGCCTCAGTTTCTTCATTTATAAAATAAAGGAATTGGATTAGAGCATTGAGGTCCTCTCAGTACCACCGCTCTGTGATTCTATTCTGCAGAGTACAGACCCAGATAACATTCTTGAAGTACTCTTCCGGTTCCTTGGACAGAACACACTGTCTTTAGCTTCAGCAGGTTTTCTGGCTGCCTAAGACAATTCAACCTTCTTGAAAACAAGTCATGAAGCTTCTGGAATCATATGCTCCCCTCCTCCTAGCCCTTTCAATTCCCAGCCTCTAGAGATTGTGCCTCTGCCTTGGTTAATTAAGATAAGACTTTGGAAAGATTTTAATACCCATGCTGTGATGTGACACTCCACCATTGGGTGTTTATTACCATTTGCTGTTCTAATGCTTGTGTCTTCAGATGTTTGTTGCTTTTAAAAGTTGATTGAATTTTAAGAGCCTGAATCTTTAATTCTGGGGATAAAGTTAAATGCCTGTGCCTTGTTGACCTGCTCTCAATGAGGAGGAACTGATTGTGCTCATTTACAATGAAATACACTATCCTTCCACACTGGTCATCCAAGAATTAGAATGGAGGAGCTTGGTTTGATTTTATTTTAAGTCAGCTACTTGAAAGTCTTTTTGTTTTTTAAAACTGGAGATAGCTTAATAGGGTAAAATCTCAAATCCAAACTCATTTCTTCCATCCACTTAGTCACTCAAAATAGTACAGGATACCACACATGAGCCAGGCTGGCAGAACAGTTTATCTTAGGCCTATGGACCAAGTTTCTGCCAGAAGTCAGAGTAAGTGTTTTCACTCTAGAACAAGGGCATGTTAACATATATGTAAAGCATCGAGCACTGGCAAGTAACATTGCCTTTTCCATGAAAGCGGATTTTCCCTAATATCTAGCACAGAGTTGGACACTCAACTTCCTTTTGAAGAATGAATGAATGAATACAGCATGCATGAGTGAATTAATGATGGCCAGTCCTACTCGTGTGTAAATATTGTCTGAGGGATGGGAAAATTTATTTGGAAACTATGTATAGGATAAGAGTTTAATGTCTAGAACATATAAAGAATTCATAAAACTCAACAACTGAAAGACAAACAACTCAATTTAAAAAAATAGGCAAAAAACTTGAATAGATATTTCCCTAAAGAATATATACAAATGGCCAATAAACACATGAAAAGATGCTGTACATCATTAGTAATTGTGTTGCTGTTAGGTGGCATCAAGTCAATTCTGACTCATAGCAACCCTATATACACCAGCACTAAACACTGCCCCATCCAGCACCATCCTCAGGATCGTTGCAGCCACTGTGTCAATCCACCTTGTTGAGGGTCTTTTTCTTTTTTGCTGATCCTCCACTTTACCAAGCCTGATACCCTTCTCCAGGGACTGGTCCCTCCTGATAACGTGACCAAAGTACAAAGGGACGAAATGGCCATTCTCGCTTCTAAGGAGCATTATGTCTGTACTTCTTCCAAGACAGGTTTGTTTGTTCGTCTAGCAGTCCATGGTGTATTTACCACATTTCAAAGGCATCAATCCTTCTTCAGTCTTCCTTAGTCAGTGTCCAGCTTTCACATGCATATGAGGCTACAGAAAATATCATAACTTGGGTTCAGCGCTTTAAGAGGTCTTTTGCAGCAGATTTGCCCAACGCAATACATCATTTGATTTCTTGACTGCTGCTTCTATGGGCATTGATTGTGGATCCAAGGAATAATGAAATCCCTGACAACTCCAATGTTTTATCTGTTTATCATGATGTTGCTTATCAGTCTAGTTGTGAGGGTTTTTGTTTTCTTTATGTTAAAGCATAACCCATACTGAAGGCTGTAGTCTTTCATCTTTACCAGTAAGTGCTTCATTCAAGTCCTCTTCACTTTCTGAAAGAAAGGCTGTCTGCATATCACAAGTTGTTAATCTTCCTCCAATTCCTGATACCATGTTCTTCTTCATATGGTCCAGCTTCTTGGGTTATTTGCTCAGCATACAGATTGAATAAGTATGGTGAAAGGATACAACCCTGATGCACACCCTTCCTTATTTTGAACCATGCTGTATCCCCTTGTTCTTTGCAATGACAGCCTCTTGGTCTATGTACAGGTTTCTCATGAGCACAATTAAGTGTTCTGGATTTCCCATTCTTCACAATATTATCCATAATTGGTTATGATCCACACAAATTCCTTTGCATAGTCAATAAAACACAGGTCTGATCCATCTGATATCAGCAATGATATTCCTCATTCTACATCCTTTTTTGAATCCAGTTTGCATTTCTGGAAATTCCTTTTCAATATACTGCTGCAACGATTTTTTAAATTATCTTCAGCAAAATTTTACTTGCAAATGATATTAATGATATTGTTCTATAATTTCCACATCTTGTTGGATTACCTTTCTTTGCAATGGGCACAAATATGTATCTCTTCCAGTCATTTGACCAGGTAGCTGTCTTCCTAATTTCTTGGCAAAAATGAATAAGCACCTCTAGTGCTACATCCATTTGTTGAAATGTATCAATGGGTATTCCATCATTTCTTGGGGCCTTATTTTTCACCAATTCTTTCAGTGCAGCTGAGATTTCTTTCTTTAATACCATTGGTTCTTAGTGATATGCTACCTCCTGAAATAGTTGAACATCGATCAGATCTTTTTGATACATAGTGACTCTGTGTATTCCTTCCTGCATTGTGCAATATTTCACCTATAGAATCCTTCAATACTGCAATTTGAGGCTTGAATTTTTCTTCAGTTCTTTCAGCTTAAGAAATGCTGAGTATGTTCTTCCATTTAGTTTCTTTTTTTAATTCCAGGTCTTTACACATTTCATTATAACATTTTATACTTTGTCTTCTCAAGCCACTCTTTGAAATCTTCTGTTCAACTTTTTTATTTCAACTTTTCTTCCTAACAGTTTAGCTACTCTCTGTTCAAAAGCAAGTTTCAGGGTCTCTTCTGACATCCATTTTCATCTTTTATTCCTTTTCTGTCTTCTTAATGACCATTTGTTTTCTTCATGCATGATGTTCTTGATGTCATTCCACAACTTGTCTGGTCTTTGGTCACTGGTGTTCAATGCATCAAATCTATTCTTCAAATGGTCTCTAAATTCAGGTGGGATGTACTGAAGGTCATATTTTGGCTCTTGTGGACTTGTTTTAATTTTCTTCAGCTTCACATTGAACTTGCATATGAGTAATTGATGTTGTTGTTGTTGTAATGTGCTGTCGAGTCGGACCCAATTCATAGCAGCCCCTCCTTGGGTTTCCGAGGTGGTATCACTATGGAAGTAGATTGCCCAACCTTCCTTCTGAGGAGTGGCTGGTGGGTTTGAAC